TATTATTATTATATATATTGTAATTTATTTTTAATAATTTATTTAGTTAAGATATTTACTTTACATATTTACATTTTCTATCTCTCATTTCAAGCCAACATTTTCTTTAGGGTAACTTGCGCTCAGTTCTTTTCCAAGTGCCTCACCTCGACTCATTGTACAGCTGTCTCAGTCTCCGCCTCAGCCTCAGCCCGCAGCTCATGTGAGTAAATTGTATTGATTGGAAAGTTTCGCTTATGACATGCTGCCAGCCCAATCGGAGTCCAATAAGATTTCAGCTCAAAACTAATTAGCAGCTGGCATAGTTGAACATCCTTTGGGATGCCATTCGCTCCAGCTACGACTCCAGTCTTCTTCTTCTGCTGCTGCTAATGTAGCCCTGGGGCCAGCATTTTGTCAGCCATTAACTGAATTGAAGTTATGGAAAAATGCGCACAGCCTTAGCCTCCTCGACTGCTCGAGTGTCGATTCAGCTTTAATGCAGTTAATTTATTGTGGTCGGGCTGCATGTGGAAGTTTTGCTCGACGAGCCTTTTAAATTGACATGAAGAAGTTTCCCTGGCCGCCATCAACACCACAAGAAAGTGGGTCAAGTGGTTTTCAACACTTAAATAAACTCTTCTGCATTGGCACGGGCGAGAGCCGAATGCTGTCCAGCATTTTCTTTGCCATTTCGCTTTTCTGGGTCACCGTCGACTCGTCCTCATCGTCGTCCTCATCGTCGTCCTCGTCCTCGTCGACATCGCATAAATATAAATTGTATTGTTTCAAAAAGTTTTTCCAGTTGAGTTTCGCGGCTAACGGAAAAAGTAGTTAAAGTTTTGTTTTCGCCCCTAGTTTATTGCGTGATTTCCTTTGCAATGACTCAACCCAGCAGCCGAGAGGACTCTCCATCTCTCCTCTCCTCCTCTCCGCCTCGCCCACTCTCACTGCTGCCAGCTCGCTCAGTTTTTAGTTTAAAGGTGGCAAAATGTTTTGCCCTATGATTTACAGCCGCTGTTAGTGTATTTGTGGCTCGGCTTCTTTATTTATTTAGTTTTAACAAGTTTCGCCATAGTTTTTGGACATTCTCACACTTTGTTGGCCCAAGCGAGCGAGCGAGCATAGTTGGCACTTGCTGCTTTACCAAATTTTTGAGTTCTGCCAAGAAATTGTTCATGAACCAACTAACTGTTATTTTCTATATATATTTTTCGGTTATTTCGTTAATTTAGGCAGAAGCTGGGCTTTAGGGTTTCGAACTGCATTATGAACAGTCTAAAATACCTTTTTATTTTGAATATTAATTT